ACTTCTACATCCGTCAATTGTTTCAAGCATGACAGCAGCTGCTGAACTGCGACATTTACTCCGTCAATACGCTGTTGTTTTTAAGAGCCTGAGTAACGTTAGACCATTTTTACAAGATTTTGTAAGGCTAACGCCATACATGGCTAAAACCCAACACAGATTGAAAATGAAAGTAATTTCAAACTGACACGCGCTGACCTGCTGTGACATTGAGTTAACGGGGTCTTTCAGATGACACCTACAAAGCGATACTGTGACTTGCTTTAATCATCATTTTCCTTTGACAACATCAGCAGCGTGTCGCCGGGCAGAAGCTGTCAGTCAAAGGCCCTTTAAGAGAGGAAAGTGGCTAGCGTACAGTGAGCTAAAATGCACCAGACAGTCATTTACGTCCAGTGCCAACAACACGGACACCTTACCTTTGATATGCGTGAATTCGGTTAGTGGCTACAAATGGCTGTCATTTCGAAGTCCATTCCAGTTAGACAAATGCTTCTGAAAACAGGTTAGACTGCTCCCGTAATAACCTCTGATTAGCTAAATGGACAGCTAATGCTACTATCCTAACCAGCTAAGTATCACGCTAAAGTTAGCCTAGCGAGCCGGTCAACAGCAAGAAGGCTGGCAGAAGACTGCCACCTTCCTAAGTGTACTAAAAACATTTAAATACACCTATTCTCCACGAGAAATGTGTGAAATAATACAGTGTATCGCTACATCTATGAGATATATTATTTACAGGAGACGACCACACTAAACTTAATGTATGACGTCCTCGTGTTCGCTGACAGACATTGGTTAGTCGTTTCTTTCTAAAACGCTGATTCGCTGTTTGTTTTGTCAATAACCAAGTCCCACTTTCTGGGGTTTTCCCACGGACGGCAGAAAGTGTAGTTAGGTTGGAGTGTGGCTTCCAAGGCAGATGATGCTCATCAGCTGCAGGCAGTTCAGAAATATTTATTTAAATAGAAGCAATTTTACACTATAATTATGAAATTAAAAAATTGGTATAAAATTAAATATGGCCTAAGAGTAAGAAGATTGACATTATTAATAGTAACATGTACTTAAGTATAAAATTGCTGGAGATCTGTCTGTGAAGGTTCTCAGTCTCAAGTGTTGGAGATCATTTGTAATTTTCTCAGTATAACCAAACAGGTTCGTTATATGTTCCAAGTTTTAAAGTGTCAAAGACAATACAGCCTCTCCATTGCGATCCTGTGAGATTTCTTCTTCTTCTTTGGGCTGCTCCCTTTAGGGGTTCTCACAGTGGATCATCTGGCTCCATCTTACTTTATCCCTTGCATCCTGCTCTGTCACACCAACTCTTTGCATGTCCTCCTTCTATGAATCTTCTCCTTAGTCTTCTTTTTTTTTATTCCTGCTTGACAGCTCCATCTTTGACATTTTTTGTTCATGTTCATTATCTAAACTGGTCAACCCTGTGCTGTCCCTCTGATCTACTAATTTCTAATCTTGTCCATTCTGTTCTCCCCCAATGAAAATCTTAACATCTTCAGCTCTGCCCTATGCCTTTTTGTCATTGCCACCATCTGCAAACCATACATAATAGCAGGTCTCACTATCACTTCGTAAATCATCCTTTTCATTCTTGCTACTATTGTTCACACCAACTCTCACCTCGACCCACTCCAGCCTGCATACGCTTTTTTCTCCATTTCTCTTGTGCACTGTGCATTTCTTTGAATGGTGGACCCCAGATATTTAAACTCATCTACCTTCACTATCTCTGCTCCTAGCATCTTCATATTTAGAAGTTGTCTCATTCGTCTCTCTCTCATTCACACACAAATTCTGTCTTACTTCTACTGACTTTCATTTCTCTTCCCTTCACCTACACCTCTCTTCACCTCTCCAGGTTCTTCCACCTGCTCTGTACTTGCATTACAGATCAGTACAGATCAGACTCCTCCATGAACTCTTCTGTCAACTTACAACCATTTGGTCAACCTGTGTTGTTTTTAAATGTGCTTATGAATTGATTGATTGATTGATTGATTGATTGATTGATTGATTGATTGATTGATTGATTGATTGATTGATTGATTGATTCCCACCCCAACCTGAAACACATCTGTCTCTCCTACCGCACACCTCATTAGTGTCTTACTGTCTTCATACATACTTCTTGGCCACTGCCGACTTTCTCATACAGTACCACAGTTCCCTCTTGGCACCATCAAGTTTGTTCAGTATGTGACCTAAATCTATATTTCTATAAAACAAAGGGGGAATGATGTGCTGCTGCAATTTCAAGTGTTTGCACTACTGTCTGGGGCCTGTTCATGAAACAGTAACCAAAATAAGATACAACTCTTAGATCATACCATTAAAAATATTTTGCTTGTCATGTCATCTTAGGGTGAAAAGCATGTCTCAGATCGGTAGTTTGAGCTCCAGTTATGGCTTTTTTTGTATTCATTGCTTTTTGGACTGACTACTTGTTACTATATTTCTAAAATATAGAATTACTCAGTTTCAACTATTACTATTCACAGTATTGTGACCATTCTTTTTTTTTTTTAAGAAAATGACTAACCTACACAGCATGACTACTTTTGTTTTACAATTAGTACAAGGTGAACTCTCTGAAGCAGCTTTCTTGTAGTTTTTTAAGCAGTCTTTTGGAATAACTCTCCAGGCTTCTTGAAGGACATTCAAAGCTCTTCTTTGGATATTGGCTGCCTTTTGTGTCAAGCTGATCCCTCAATGCTTCAGTAGGGCTCTGGGAAGGCCAATCCATGACTGATGGTGTGTTATTCTATCTAGGTCTGCTTTTACTGCATTGCCAATGTGCTTGAGATCATTGTCGTGTGATCATTGTAGTGCATTATTTTAAATCTGACAGTATTTTTCTGTTTTCTTTATATAATCATTTTTGACAAAATGCCCAACATCACTGGTTCAAATGCAGCTGTCTCTGAAACACAGCTTTCGCAAAGGTTTACAGATGGCTGTAGAGATTCACTGTTATACCTCTTTCCCTCCGTATCTCTTTTCATGCATATATACTGTTGCTGATTTGAAATTTAAAAAATACATTTGGTTTGATCAGTCCATAAGACCTGTTTTACACATTTTTAGTCCAGGTTTTTATATTCTGGCATAACTCAGTTCTTTCTCTCTGTTTCCCTTCTTTGACTGAGACCATATAACAAGTCAACCACCCTACTATGCCAGTAGAGGTTGAATTAGCTCCAGAATTTAAATATCTTGGGGTCATTATAGACCCAACATTATCCTTCAAGAGTCACATAAATAAAGTGTCCCAGGTACTTAAATTTAATGATCGAAATTTTAATCATATACGTAATAATTTAAATATGAATGTTGCAAAAACTTACTTTTACTCAATGATCATCTCTCATATGGACTATTGTTTGACGTCCTGGTCACTTGCTTGTCCAACAACACTTAAAACTATTGAAAACATTTATAAAAGAAGTTTAAAACTACTTGACAAAAAACCAACTTCCCACCACCAAAAACATAAATTACTGAACTTCAATAACTTAGTGAAACTTAAAAGAGTGTGTTTAATATATAAAGTCTTACACTCCCTTGCTCCACCACCACTAAAGCAGTTCATTAGGCATAAAGAAAGCTCAGACAGGACCACTCGAGCTTCAATCCAAGGAGACTTGTTTATACCCCACAGACGGACAGCATTTGGGCAGAACGTCCTCTCTGTTAAGGGTGGCCATCTGTGGAACAGTCTTTCTCAACCCATTAGAGAATGCTCGACATTCAATTTGTTTAAGGCAAAGGTTAAAAACTGGTTATGTGATCATGTATGAGTTGTATAGTTTTAATGTTTTATTTGGGAACAGAATGGTGTGTATGTGTAAGTTTGGTGATGGAGTTTTTATTATGAATGTATGATGAATTTTTATGAATTATTATGTCTATTTTTTATGTTTAAGGACAACAGATGGAAATTAGCCTTTGGCTGTAATCTGGCATGTTTACATTCATGTAATTTTTTTTTTACATTTATGTTCATTAACATGCACTGTCCTAAATAAAATAAATAAATAAATAAATAAATGTTCTCACCTTATGTGAATCTGATTCAAGTACTTTAGCTGCATTCATTCAATCAGGATTAACAGAATGGGAATTATCTTTTTATAGGATGTTTTTTTAATTACATATCTGCTTAATGAGCATTATATTAAAAGACAGAAAATAGAAACCAGTTTACACACATGACAAAAACAGGTAACATAGACAGCATAAATATAGTATATAGTGTAAAACAGAATACACCCAATTTCCACCAAACATTCCACAGAGTTGTAAACTCATTCCTACAACAAACAACCAGAAAAAAAAACATCCAACAAAATGTGCTCTATAAACTTTTCTGCTGTGATAAGTTTTAATAAACAAAAATTGAAACTTGTCATGTCAGTAATTTCTCCTTTTAACTTGCACAACAAGGACTGTAAGAATACTCTTTGTAAATGTCCCAGACAGTTTTCTATATCAGTACAGTAAAAACATACATCTGATCTGATACAGAAAATTGTTTTTCTTTTTTTCCCCACTCCAAAACAGCATATTTGCCTCTGCCCTTCTATGCAAACTTCAAATGTAACATTTTTTGTAACCTTAAGACAGTGTAACTGTACATGTGTAGCTGTTTCTGACTGAAGGATATGAAGGTGTTACAACTCTTCCATAACGGTAACCACAGACTATACAGTCTTACATTCTGTAGTAAAATTTCACACATCTTTCCACTAACAACTACAAAATAAAATAAAGAAACAAAAAATAAAAATAACACTTCTGCTGTTACTATGAGTAGTAGAAGTTGTGTTGGTGATGTAAAAGGTAGTATTTGTTATGGTATAAAGCAATGCCACACCACTTCCACCTATAAAAACCCAATAAAGAGGTGTATGTATTTTGCAACCTTGAAAAAACACTGATCCAAATTTTTTTTAACCCTATTACACATATTTTAAATCTCAAATAAAAATAGAAACTATTCCTGTAATAAATAAAATACATTTTCTTGCTAAGTAAAGTCCTTTGCCACTGTAATACAAATCAGAAGATCAGTCTTGATTCCAGTTGCTTCATTTCTTCTACATCCTCCAAACTGAGATCATTGTTTCTTAACCTATAATGCAAAAAGAAGAGACAGTAGTAGTAAATAAATGAACAGGAGACATGGGAACAAAAACAAAGAAAAAGAATATTCTAGCTTACACCAAACTGATGCATTTTTTTCTTGGCACTGAAACTGACAAACAACTTGTCTGGATGCAAACAGTCCAAAAGTGGATGCTCTAAAGAATATAGGGAACTTTGTATTCATGAGTGTCAGGCTTGCTGAGCATTACATACCATACCGATGTCACATATGTATTGTGTTTAAGGGCTTGAATCAGACATTCCACCCCCGTTCTGGTTATGCAGTTTTCTGTCAACCTTTAACAGGAAATAAGAGGGTGGAGCATTTTAAGCACTGCTGTGCAAGCAGTGGTTACCATGAAACCAGACAGCTATTGGTAATCTGCATACAACTTGTGTCTAACGCTTACCAAAGTTCCTGCAGTGATGTGCTCTTCCTGATGAGATTAGCGAGGGCACATGCTCCTGCACTCCCTACACCATTGCCTACCAGGCTGTAAGCAAAATGTGCAGGGATGCGTTTTCAAAAACAACTGATAAAGCATCCTAACATATCATGTAAATAGCACATTCATGGTTTTCATAATGTGAAAGTTAAGCAAACATGTTCCAGAATTATTGCAAATCTTACCTTAGCCACACCAGAGAGTTGCTTTTCTCAAGACTACTAGCAAGGGCCTCAGTTCCTGCATCACCTATCCTATTGCCCCATAACCTGGAAATGCAAAGAAATACTGTAAATGAAAATTCATCAACAATGAAACATGACATTTTATGGGAAACACTTACCCTAAGTACGCCAAGGTTTGATTGACTTTCAGTCCCTCTGCCAGCTGCTTTGCTCCTTCTGCTGTTATGTTATTGTTGCCTAGCCTTGAAGAGAAGAAGGTTATTTGCTAATCTTTTGGTCATTGGGCCAACAGTAGAGTCACATTTGATGACAAACGCTGACCTTAAAGAAATGAAGACCTGCTTGGTCTTCAATAAATAAGAAAAATCCTGCATGCAAGCATCAGTTAATTTGTTGTTGAAGAGCCTGGAAAGAAACAAAAAGATTTTGAAAGTTGGCTGATAAAATTTAATTTAACTGGCAGTATTAATCATCTTGATAATACATACGCAATTTTCTGAAAGCTGTCACACTGGATGACTTTAGCAATCAGTTTGCGGATGCCCTCATCTGTAATGTTGTTATTTCTGAGGCTAAGGAAGGAACAATAGGCATTTCAGAATAAAAACTGCTCCTCTCTTAGAGTGAAAGCAGTTAGAGAGTTTGTTCACTCTAATGAATTGCCGTTCAATCTATTAACCAAGGAAATTTAACAAAAGAGAAATGTGTAATTTCCACTTACTAAAGGGAATTGCAAATGTGCATGCAGGGAAGAAGCTGTTCCACTCCAACATCACCCACAGAGTTGTTGTCCAGCTGGAGGCCTACAGGATTTCTTAAGTGCTGGAGCACATAAGCAAGCGCAGTGCACTCTACAGGTCCGATATTACAGTATGTCAATTTCAGATGGTCCACCTCCAACTTGCTCATAGCATCTTTAGCTATCTGACTCTCCTGCATCTCATAGAGGCATTTTATAAGCCACACAAAGTCGGGCATTGCATGCATGCTCTTCTTTTCCCCTTGTACAGGTTGGGGAATGGACCTAAAGTGTTTCTGAATGCCTTTGGAAAGGCATTTTGCCACCTGTCTGGCCTTTTTTTCCACCGCAGCGCTGGGGCAGCAGTGGAGCCACAGATTTTGATGGCGCTGGGACAATAGTCCAGACACAAACATGGCTGTGATTTGCAGATTTGGTGTCTCTGCTGCTTTACTTTCCTTCTCTGAAGCTTGCTGTTGTTGATCACTGGAAGGCAAGCAGGCTCCAAAGCAGACACGGGTCAGACCTGTCTCCCTCATGTTCTCTAGCTCAAAGAGCTTTGGGATAACTGAACGGTTAATGTTACTTGACAAAACAATGAAGAGAGCAGCAAAGAAACATTGCAATGTCACATGACTGAATTCATAGCACTTGGAGTGGGTAGAGGACATATCTTTGCTTTTTATGAGAAAAACCATGCAGATATCCTTTTCAGTTACACCACATGCTTCAAGGTCTGTACCTGAAAAAATATAACAGGTGGATCTTATCCCCTCAAATGCAAGCTGTCCAAGAAGAAGGACTGTTTTTAGGTGCTCCTGTAGCCAGCCTAAACCCATCGTGCTCTTCAGAGGACTTTGGTGCTGGAGAAAGTGCTGTAAGATCATCAGGTAAACATCTGTAATTGTTTTGGGGCTGCCTTCTCCACAGCCCAGCAGCTCCTTGTGGCACTGTGAAACTATCCAGCAGAGAACTGGACTGTGACAGAGTCCAAGTAAAGCTGTGTTCGCCTGCATTGACTCTAAAACCTTAGCGGCTACAGTGGGGTCCCTGTGATGTTTCCGTACAAAACAGTCAATCCCAGCTGGGGAAAACCCTTTCAGGACAACCTCTTTGCGTAGGTGCTTCTTTAACAATGGGCTCACTGCTTCTGAACGGCTAGTGACCACTTTCTGCACCCCCTTCATGAGGGAACCCTGGATTAAGTTGAACAATAATACATGAACAGGTGCACGCTGGGTGGGGCAGCAAACTCTGTGTTCATCTGTAAAGCTCTGCTTGAGCTCATCCAGGCCATCAAAAGTGAACAGGATTTGATGCGGGTGGTCCAAGATGAACTGGAAAATTTCTTCTTGATTCCGGTCTGGCCAGCAGCAGTGCTGAAACAACAACTCCTGGACTGACAGTTCATTGTGCTCTGAATTCAACCTACGACAGCTGAATGGAAATAGAAGGAGAAAGTCTTGAAGGGCTAACCCTCGAGCCCAAAGCAAGTGCAGCCTCTGGAGAAGGGTGCTTTTTCCACTGCCTGCCTCCCCAGATACTAGCACTGTGTCGGCCTCCTCATTCACTATACCCGCCAAACCAACGATGTCTTCCAATCCCAAAGGTCCATGGGCATTAACTTCAGCTAGTTCCAGCTCGCCGTCAGTGTAAATGTCATCAAGAGACATATGGCTAGTTCCCCCATAAGTGCTGAGAAAGCAGGCCTGAGCAGACACAGAGCTGCTCAGCTTCTTCTGGTACTTTAAAAACTCTGTGAAAGAAAAATTTGTGAAGAACAGATGGAATGAGTGAACAAGTCATCATTTCATACATCCTGTATCTCTTTGGTAAAATGTGGAACGTGCATAATCTTGTAATATAATCTGCCAATTTTGTGTTTCAAAGCATAACCAGAAACCTTCTGTATTTCGGGCATTATTCCCATGAGGGTGATCAAGGATAGCTTTACTCATAAAAACAATACATATTGCTGCGCTTTTAAACATTGCTTTTGACAGTAACAGACCTTTGGGAGGAGTCAGTTCCCTCTGGTTAAGTGGAAATCCAGGTTCTTGTTTTTGGTGAATGTACTGCAGGAGAACCGATGCTGCTAAATCACCTCTGGATCTAACATGGTCAAGCAGACGCCTTGCCTGATTGATCACATGGACATGGATGAAAATAATAAAAAGTTTATTTTTGACAGTTATTTGGATTGTTGCAGAATTATATAAAAGACCAACTTACATATTCATAATCTAATAATGCAACAGCAGAAAGAGCTTTACCTTGCTTAGCTTAGCACAAAGACAGGCAGCAAGTGGTAAAAACCTTGCCTGGATCTATACAAAGGTAGCAAGATATGTTTACCAGTTTTCTTTATATTATTTTATATTACTTGTATAATTACTCAGGAATATCAGAATAGTATTAGATCTATTTAAAGTATAGTATTGACTGATAAAGTAACATAAAAAGTAACAAAAATACTCCAGCACTACTGTCTGTATGACATCTAAGTATCAGGAATTCAGAAATAATGACAAGCTTCATTCCAAGACAGTTTAAAGGTAAAGAACAATTGCATGAAGTTGTCAAACCACATTTTAACAATGTGACATTCAGGTGCTTACAGTACCTGTTGGGTGGGAGTATATATAGGTAACCGCACTTCATCACAATCAGCTGAAGAAAAGTGACCCGAATCCAGCAGAGCTTCTAGAACACCATCGACACAGCCCTGAAGCTTGTGGACAAGGCTCGGTCGTTGAGCCAGAAGAGTTTGATTAGAAGTGCTCTGACGTTCATCGTTTTCTTCTAGATTTGAGCAGGATTCGGAGAAAGAGAGCCCCACTGCCTGTGCTTCAGGCAAGACCAGTTTGAGAGCATGTAGAAAGAGCCCACATGTGTCCACACCCTTTGTATAGACCAGATCAAGCAGCTGTCTTGCATTGGTATACAGTGTTCTTCCTGGTACCTGTATGTTCTGGTAGTCCTCCCATATGAGCGCCCCCTGGGCAAGCAGTATATCCAGGACCCTCTCCAGATGCTCAGCTGACCCACTGCTGCACAGTGCATGCAGTATCTTCGTCCTTTGTTTAAGCACTAGTTCCTCGGCAAGCATTCTTTCTCCATATCAGTGCCCATGCTCAGGGACATTCAGTTTGTGGTTACTTCTGCTTCTTGTGGTGTGAAAACCTGTCACAGCAAATGGCCAAATGTCAACATGTTACTATGGGCCAACTAGAGCTTCCTTCTTTCTTTTCTAACTCTGTTTTGAATACCATACAGCAGTACATGTCATTTTGTGCGTCTTTCTCTTAAGCCATAACAAAAAGTTAAACCAGAATGAAAAGAATATATGGCTACCATTACATACACATCAAATGTGTTGCTGGTCCCTTTAAAACATGTACAAGTACGGAATAGCCGACTAAGCGACCTCAATTGCAGACGTAAGTAACACAAAATAAAACCACAAAAAAGAACACTTACTTACTTGGCTTTCTTTCCTCCCTCTGTCATACGAACAGAGCCGCTGTAGAGTTATAGGGTCCTACCTCTTCAGTATTCTACTTGTGTCAAGCCAGCCTCCAATTCGAGACTTGCAGTCAAGCCAGCCTCCAGTTTGTTTTACGTTCCCTGTGTATTCAAAGTATTACGGGAATGGATGTGGAAACCGGATTTCAAAATAAAAGCCAACTTCGAGTGAATTAACAGATATGTTAAGAACATAATAATAACATATAATTTAGGATTTTTTTTTTTTTTTTACAAACTCTAATGTTAGATCTATATGACACAGCCTTGTACCCTAATTGTGCCCTGTCACTATCAAGGCCAT